AATACTTAGCTCGCGATGTTCGTTCACTCGCACTTAAGTCTGCCTACGTCTATCGCATAGCTAGCTTCCTCGCCTCCTCAATTCCTCATTAGAACTCAACCTGGTGATAAGAGACACAAACCAATATCCGATGCAAAAATAAACAGAAAAGAAAGAAAACTAACCTAAGGACTCGGGTTGCCTCCCGGGAGCGCTTGTTTAATGTCTTTAGCTCGACCCATCTTACTCAAATAGGAGGGGGTTCTGGGGGAATGGGTCTTGGAGGAATGGTTTGAAGTGGAATGGGGTTGGATGAGACAAATTCAGCTGATTTGGTGTGGCTTCGATCGAAGTGATGTAGCTCTTGATTTACCTTACTGACCGACCGAAACTTGAGTGGTGGTAATTGGGGGTCAGCATGGAAGTCGGATGAAAGAGGTGGTGGATCTCTTTGAATATCAGTTTGGGGGACTGCTCGACTCGAGATGGGAATAGTCTCAGACGAGTAAACAACCAGTTCAACTTTATGTGATTTTACATCGAATTTTTGCTTTTGTGAACATGGTTGATCAAACTGAACGTCTTTCTTGTGTTCCTTCAGGCGTGAAGGAAATGGAGCCGGTGGTGGTCTTCGCGGTGGAGATACATACTTTGGTTCTGTCTCCTCACAATTCATGCTCAAATGTTCATCTGTGGTCAAAGAGTTAGGTTTATAATCCAAATACGCATTAGAACACTTACCTTCCTTGATGACTTGTTGTGTGCCTAACTCAGATTGGTCCACATCCTTCAGTGGTATGGTGTTAAGGTACTCTCCAGGATCAATTTCTGTTTGTTCCGTGAGAGTTTCTTGCGACCACACTGATGAGGAGATAAGATTAGCGAGTCGATTGTTAATGAGCTCGAGTCGCGAATTCACATCCCTCATGTAGCCCTTTAGCTCATTAAAAATGTTCTCCTGTTTCTGCAAAACCTGAATAAACATGTATTTTATATCAGAATCTACCTCTTGTTGAGTTTGAAGTAGTGGATAAACGTATGCCTCCTGAGGTGGTTCTTCAAAATGGTAGTATGCCTCATAACCCTGATCGTAGTGAAATGGGGATCTAGGCTGATACGCTTGAAATTCATAGGATCCATGATTTTGGTGGTCATTGAAATCCCAATGTGGAGCATTTGGAGCATATGAGTCATAGGAGAAATTTGGATAGTTCGTCCAATCAGGATTAAAAGAGTTGTCATACAACACGTCATTCATGAGATAGCTTATATCCATAATTCTCTACTCATGCTCTTGGAGAGGGTATACCTGCACACACTAAAGAAACCAAGGAGAAAAACGAGACAAGGCGAAAGACGCAAAACACACAAAAAAAAAACACCCAAAGACTCAAGAAAATTGAAAAACAAACAATGACGCAAAAGACTCAGAAAACAAGACTCCGGAAAGGACTAAGACCTAGGCTCAAAGGAATCTTTATCGTAGCGCTAAACTATTCCCCGGCAACGGCGCCAAAAACTTGATAACGCAAATCTAGGTGTATAAATAAGCTCAAGTAATAAAAGACCTCTGAAAATAAAGCGATAAATAAACTAAGTAAATCAGATAACTAAACCACCGTAACTTCGGGATAACCTTAATGCGTAGGGATTGTTTCTAAGGATGGAGAATCTACGAATATCGAACTCTAAACGGAGATCTCAAGTTCTAATACCAGATTTGGCTCTCTCAAGTCCTAAATCCACTATCCAATAATTTAACCTATCGATCTCTCAACCTAATAGATTAAAATATCAAATGCATTAACAATCACTATCACAGTTCCTAAACCGGTTAACCTATCTTTCAATAGTCTTAATCAATTCATTCAATGAAATCGTTCCGAATCTAATCTCAACTCTCGTTGCAAATCAGAATCTATAATCAATCAATCAACTGGTCAAGAAGATCAAAAGCAATAAACTCAATTCAATTAAACCGCCGAGTATCGATAACGTAGTCTCGGAAAATAAAAACCAAACAAATCCCTACAAGGTTAAATCCCTAGCTACAGTGAAACGACTACTCACTACCCATAACAACGAACGAGTTCAAATCAATAAGAAGAAACATAGAAACAGATAAAGAAGACTCGTAGCGATCTCTCGACGACGATTCTTCAATCTCTTCTCCCGGGAAACTCCGTCTTGATTCTCTCTCGAGTTCTTTGGCTTCTGCTGTGATCTCTCGATGACTTTTGAAGCCCAAGACGTCTCCTATTTATTTGCTTGGCAGCTGGGCTTCTTCCTTTGCTGAAAACGGAGGTCCGGATGCAAAATAGGAAGTTTTCCCGTAATGCAACACGGCCGTGTCGAATGCAATACGGTCCGTGTCAATTCTCTGTTAAAAATCTGCACTTTAGACATGGGTTGAACACGGGCGAGTTTGAATCAACACGGCCGTGTCGAATGACAACACGGTCCGTGTCAATTATCTGAGCAAAACTTCACTTTTTTCAGCACGGACACAACACGGCCGTGTCGAATGCAACACGGTCCGTGTCGATTCTTCAACTCGAACATGCTTGACAGATTTGCTCATAACTTTCTGCTCCAATGTCGGATTTGTGCGATCTTAGTGTCTATGCGTAGATATTGAAGAGAGCTTTCCAATGAGGTAGAGAACACGCAATTTGGACTTGTAGAGTGA